GTGATTTTGTTGTTTTCGAGAATTAAATCAGCAAGTTGAGGCACATAATGCCCGGCGTAACTCACAGATAATTCACAGAGGATTAGCCTATCCTAAAAGATTACAAAGAGCTTTGCAAGAATTAGGATGGAAAAAAATTAAAGCCAGAGTATAATTTTCCCTCTTAAAAATAGAAACTAAACAAAATTTCTCAGTTCTAATGACTTGGAGTTCTGTTAATAGAACATAGCCTACTGAACATTCTTTTAGGTCTGTTGGGAAGCATACACAAAGTCTTGGCCTTTGAAGATTTTTCTTCTCCATTTTCGTCTAAGTCCTTGTTTTCTCCCAACTTCGGTTTTAGGGTCGAGACCTTAGATTTCGGTGATTTGAGTCCCGAGACACTCGATTGATCGTCTGCTGCCGTTGTTGCATTAGTACTAAATGATGCTATAGGCTTTCCCAGATTGTTATGAGCCGATAAAAGTGCTTTGATATTCCTAGGAAGCTCGTTTACGTGGCCACCAGCAGTCGCAGCTCGTGCTTGCTCACAGAAAAGAACTTGCTGCAGTAATCAATTTAAGATCTTCATTCAACTTTTTTGTGCTTCAGTAATCACAACTCCTTAATCTACTGTAGGGATTCTATTCTCCACCAATCCCCAATATTCTTTTGAACGTAAAAAGTATTCCATAAGCATGCTCCAGTGATCATAGTCCCCATCAAGCTTTTGAAGTGCAGGTTGCACAAAACTATTTTCTGCTGCTCCTCAAGTGACCTTGATCAGGTTCTTTTAACCTGGCTCTGATACAAAATGTTGAGAACCCTGATTTTATGTGTTATTGAATATTGGAGAAGAAAAAGCATATTATTAATCCAGCAATATAGGGGCTTATATAGCCTTTACAAAGCAATAAGAGTGTGTTTGATTATATTTATTTTTCCTGAAAAATATCAGTTTTCCATCCAAATTCGTACTTGGGATGTTTGATTGCTATTTTTTCCATGGAAAACATTTTTCAACTTTTGAAAAAAATGCCTAATTTTCCTTGTTTTTAAGGAAAATATTTTTCTTATGTGGAGGTGATTTTTTTTTTCTCAAAAGAAGGAAAACATTTTCTTTTTTAAGTGATATTTCCATGTCAATCAAACACATTTAGAAATAAACAACCTACATCTCAACAACTCCGAGAATCNCGACAAAGGATTTATATAGGCTGTCCAAAGTTTATTTGCAATAAAGCTTATTTTGTTGTTCTATCCCTGTTCATCTAGAAAACCAATTTTATAATTGAATTTTGATGACTAAATCTTGCCTAACAGAAATGAGTTGAATTTTGGATACGATTGGTACACCATATTGGATTAAGAGAGTAAGGAGAATAGAACTAGACGAGATACGATTAAGGTAAATTATAGTGTATTGTTATACGGTGTTTGGTGCTACATGATGTTACTAAAACATACAAGTATTGAAAAAAATAATAATAATAAATAAAATTATTATAATATTTTTTAATATTATATAAGTAAATTTTCTTACTTATATGTAAATTTACTCTTAATTGATGTTTTTAGTTATGCTCCCATTGCCAATTGTTCGTACTCTGTTGATTGTTCTGCCCATTAACCACAGGTTTTTACATCAGGGAAATGCTCAAATGTAATATAAAGATTCATTATAGAATGAACTATTGGTTCAAAGCCATTTCTGCTCTTGACAGAATTGATGTGGTCGTTAACACAGTATACACCATGGCCATCACATCGTCTTTTGTGACCTAAAGTGAATAGTGATAATAAACATATGCTTCTAAATTCTTTGGATGACATATAAACATCAACAACATGCTCCTTTGCATCTTTGGTGTTTCAAATCGGGCATTTCAACTAAAAACGAAAACTAAAATTTCTAGACTACAAAAACTGATAGGTATTGTTCGGCACATTAGATTGTTGGAATTGGATAGGATTAGAAATGAGAGACTTATGTAACATTTGTGAGTTTCCCCGACCAATTACAATTATTAGTACAGAATGTAGATCCTGTCATTCATCGCATCTTTATTCTCAAATCTTTGCGTCCAAGATAAAGATGTTATTCAAACATTGAATGTTCATTGAAATGGACATGGTTAACTTACAATTGTAAAAATGAACAGTTCAAACATTTCATTCGTGTCTATCTTGATTCCCCCTTTAGCCCTGTGCTGGAGGAAGCTTTCCCTCAATGAAGGATGAGAAGAAGATGAGCGCGCGCTCAGGCTGGTAACTCGGAACAAAATGTCCCGATCCTCTTATAGTCACAAATGTCACATTTTGATAGTCAACTACATAACCTCCAACCTTGAAAAAGTGATTCAGAATGGCGTTACGATGCTAAAATTAGTAAAGGTGGACAAGATTTAAACAGCGTAAAAAATAAATAAATAAATAAATAAATAAATCAATTGTTTCTTTATTACCTCGCCTTGAGAGTCCCAGGGATACCATGGGGTCTTTATAGGTGACCCGAGCTTGGGCATTGAATACCTAGTTGCTGTAACTGGTAGTATCCGATCTGTATCTCCACTGCAGGTGCATTGAAAATTTAAGCTTAAGAGTGTCAAGACAACAACAATTATATTTTCATTCTCAAATAAAATTCTTTCACTCAGTTCTCTCTCGTGCAAAAGTCGAGGCTTACAAATCAATGACTGTAATCAAGACATGTTCCCAATGTGTCATAATGTTAAATAACTAACAGAACTTTTCAGCAAGTATTTGCTAGTGATAAATACAAAATAAACTGTAATTCAGTTTCAGTATTTTCTTTTTCGGGTTCTTATTTTAAAAAGAATTTGCCAAGTGCAATCTGCAGTAGAACGGTGAAGTGTTAGCACTCACGGTCATAACTTACCTGTAGATCCAAACTCTGATGCCGCTTTCCATTAGCTTCTTTATGGTAGGCAATAATGTATATGGTGAGTCCTGCCAGCCAGTACTGATGATGTCGCTGTATATCAATGAAGTGTTTTTAGTTGAAGTCTTTCGAAAATTGAAATGAAATAATATGGAATAAGAAAGAGTTGGAAAAAAAAATATCAGATGGAGAAGTGCGGTACTTGCAATCTTCCCACGGTCCAGGAACTCCAGTGATGTTAGCATGAAGTGCCTTTTGCACTTCAGGATTGTTTAAATAATCAAAGACATAATCACTTGAGCATGGATCGAAATTTGATACCTGCTTCCAGAAGAACGGAATGGATTTTTATTCTGGGGAAACGAGAATATTATAGACTGAAGAACAAGTTGATAAGATATACCCCGGGAGCACTTGAAGAGGTAGAGCACAAGGGAGCATATATGTCATAAGTGTAGATGTTGCCTATGGTTTCATAGGCTTGTTCTCTGTAATCGTAACAGACTTCTGAATTATTGGCAGATGAAAAATTGCAATTTGATTTTATTCCTTCATGAACTTCATCAGAAATGAGAGCACTTGTCCAGAAATGGTCAAAAGTGCCTGCTTCTGTATCCGTATGGTCAATTAATGCATTCCCAATCTGAAAATCACGTCCATAAGATCTTATAATTCTTGATAAAGAAAAAAACAGAACATATTGAATAAACAGGCAGCATATCGTATCAGGAAGCTTACAGCAATTCCTTTGAGGTTAATGACAGTTTGATTTGTGATTTTGTTGTTTTCAAGTATCAAATCAGCAAGCTGGGGCACATAATGACCAGCATAACTCTCTCCCGTTATGTAAAAACCACGTGTTTTGTACTCTGGATATCTTTCTAGCCAGTTAACTAAAAAGTTATACGAATCTGCTGCAGTTTTTTTGTCCCCAGTAACATAATCTGATGATGTATTGGAATAAGAAAATCCAACACCAGCTGGGGACTCCAAGAAGAGGACATTTGCCACTGCATTTCAAGCAGCAGAATTTCTTTAACAGGCCGTTCTTTTTAAAAAAAAAAAGTATATCGGTTATACCATAGAGTTTTGCCATCCGGATTGACCCGAAACGGTCCAAGTTCTGTCATTGCACCAGCTCCTATGGAAGAGCAGCCCGGTCCTGCAGTTTCAAGAATTATTAAAATTGCTAAAAGAAGGTGAATGCTAGTTCATAGAAGAAATGACAATCTAAATTGCCTTTTATTTCTCGACTATAATGATCTTGCAAAGATTTGACTCGGGTTCCCTCGCAGAGTGGTGTCTTTTATCAGACTTCAATTTTTCAGCGGAGTTTAAAGCTCTTTCGGTTTTCTTTTAGCCATGTTGGGTGATGATGCACAAGCATATTTCACCTTGTTGGAAGATAAAAAATATGCACAAACAGTTTTTGCCTACTTCAACAATAAAAATTATGTACAAATAGATTTTTCATAACACGTTATTTTTTACGTTAACAACGTCAACATTTCTATTAATTCAGCATGAGGAGGATGTAGACATAGTGCCAGACAAAAACCAAAGTTTAGTGACTAACGTGGAAAAATAATAAATTTGGTGATCAAAGTGAAACAACACTGTAAATTGGGTGTCTAACAGTGTTTTTATTATTTGCATCCTTATGTCACAGTCAAAATCAGCCGCTCAAATACTGTGTATCAAACACGTCCTTAACATGTTGATCTACATAGCATCACCACACTGCAAATTCGCCTTCTGGGGTTGTAAAAATTTAAGAAACGTGCATACCAAGAGACGCGACTAGAAATAATGACAGAAGGATATAATCAACATGCAAGTCACTGCTGGTTGAATCATCATAGTGTTACCTCCATTTAGCCACAGCACCAGAGGTTTGCTGAAACGGTCTTCAGATTCAGTAAAATAGTAAAACAGTGCCCGGCCAGCCTTAGGATCAACAGTTACATACCCTGAATACTGAGAGAAATTTACCTCAGGTTGTCCAGGCAAGGATAATATCTTGTCAAGTTCCTTTAATCCCTCCTGAGGTGCTACATAAACTGGTGAATAATCGGTCAACACAAGATCCTCTGCAGGATTATTGACCAATCTTTTTGAGCGTCGATCCTTCATAAATTTTCCAAGAGGGTCATATTTTCTCCCACTGTAACATTGTACAGAAACCCCAAGGCACAGAAGAGAGAGGACTAAAACAAATGCACCTCTCATCTTCACAATGCAACAGAAGGTGGACGTGGGGGATTTTGACCATTAATGTTGCTATTTTTCTTCTTTTATATAGATTTTGCTTCACTTTAAAAAACAAACAGCATTCATTGTAAGCATCGTATTTGAGTGTTCTTGTTGGTTTTACTCCTCATTGATGTTAACTAACTTTAGAAGTACTCAGTGAAGACATAGGGATAATACCAACAGAAGATTAAACTTCATAATGGGGGCTAACAGATCAGCCGGCATTGCATTGTTTATTTCTCAATTAGGTCAAATATTTGGTTTCTTGGTTTGTTTCAATTGTTTCTTTAAGAAATTTGACACCATATGCTCCAACAGTTCTTATAATTAGATTGTTTCCTTATGAAGAATTAATCATTTGACAGAAAAAACAAAACAAAACAATGATTAGAATAACTTTCCTTTGTGCACATTTGAAGTAGAAAGAATACAAAACTATACCTGATTAATAAACCTGATTAAGTATTCGACTATAATTTAACCAAGAAATGACACTAAATAAATATATGAAAACCAAATTACATTTCCAGTTCGATGAAGTCCAAGCTCAACAACCTGTATTTGGAGGATTTGCAGGTTGGTTCTGTGCATTTTTGGCTTGTATAGTAAGGTGGATAGTACAATGCTCAATGAAAAAGAGAGAGAAAAAAAAAAAACTCTAAAACATCATTCATGTAGTACATACTATTGTGCTCGTCCTGTCTAAAAACATTACTCTTTTGGCTTTATATGCCAGTTCATATTTTAAATGCACCAAGTTTGAACATGAAAAGTAATAGTTTTCAAATATTTACTCTTTCTATTTTCAAACAATGAAAATAAAATAATCCAAATTGTTAATGTTCCAACGGATAAATTAGTAACAAAATAGGTCGTTTGAGCATGTCTTGAATATTTTTTACGGATAAATTAATAACCTCTTAGTAAAAGAGGTTAGTTGCAGATTTAACCGTAAGTAGAATATGTAGATTTTTGTTTTCAGTTTCTTTTTTGCAAAAATCTCTGAGTCTGACTTCTTTTTATGTGGTGTCATATACTACTGTATTTCAGTTTCTTTATTAAGGACAATTTATTCTTTGTTCAAGGTTTTGTCATGGTTCCTCACTTAGTATTCTTCCTTTTTCAGCCATTTTCATACTTCTTGTTTCACATTATTAATAGCAATATCATCATCCGCTTTCACTTGTTTGGTGTTTCAAATAAGTTTTCTCAACTAACAAGTAAACTATAAAGCACTTGTCTGATGCCTCTTTCTCAGTATATAATCATTTTTTTGTGAACAAAAAATGGGATCCTCAATCGATTAAAATTTTTATTGGAAGACAGCCTATGACACTAAGACAACTTTCCTCCAAATTCATCAACTATTAGTTGGTCAAAAATACCATTTTGTCCTCGAATTACGTTGAAGTATATTGTGAGACAAATACAAGGCACAAAGGTATAGTTGGTAATTGATGGTCACGTGAAGGATGTGTTGTCGTGAGCATTTCTTAATTCGAATTCCCACTTTCAAACTAGAATCTGATACTAATCTCAATCAAACAGTAACAAAGTCTATACCAGGAGAATAACTGGTACATAAAGTAGTTCTCGGTCATGCATCTCATATATGTGGTGTAATTCAAATTAATGCTTTCCATTCTAAACTCAAATTCCATTAATTTGATGAAATCTGCTGATAATCAGTCTGTACTAACACAATAAGAAAAAAAAAATCACTTTCAAACGTTTAATTCACTTATAAATCGACTCTTGTTTATCTCTGAACCGGAAGAAGCTTTCCCTCTAAGTAGGAGGAGAACCAGGCAAATGCACACCGAGGATGTGATATAGGAACAGCACTAGAGATTTGCTGCAAGGGTCTTCCTACTCGGTAGAATAATAAATGAGTGCTCGACCAGCCTTAGGATCAACAGTAATGTACCCTGAAAATTGAGAAAAAATCTCCTTTGGTTGTCCAGGAAAAGTTAAGATCTTGTCAATTTCCTTCAATCCCTCTTGAGGTTCTACGTAAACCTTTGAATACTCCATGGCAACATTAATATAATTGACTGATCTTTTTGAGCGTCGGTCATTGGCAAGTTTTCCCATAACTTGGAATTGGTGTTTGCATCAGCTAATGTCATTTAATTCATTTGGTTATGAGAAATATGGAGATTGATTGTCGTTTTTATTTTATTTTGACAATTTCTTGATGCGTGACATCTGAGTTTGACTTTGGTTTCACATACTAATGTATTTAGGTTTCTTTATTAGGAGTAGTTTAGTCTTTTTCATTGTTTAGAGGATTTTAGTTTAGTGTTTTGACTTTATGTTCTGTTTGTAACCATCATATTACTGATATAAATTACATCTAGTTTCGCAATATCAACATCCAAGCGACTGGTTTCGTGCCTAGTGAGAGTACAAAATGTGTTTCTGTCATTCATCAAATAAGGTAATAGGGTGTTATCCAAATTTTGACTGTTCGTCGTAAATTTATATTTTATCAATTTGATGAGACCTGCTTATATTAGTCTTTACAAAGACAATACGAAAAAGATCAGTTCAAACATTTTATTTGCATTTACCTCTACTTCTGTTTACTCTGTTTCGGAGGAAGCTTTCCCTGTAAGAAGGATGACAAGAATATTAGTGCTCGCTCAGGCTGGTAACTCGGAACAAAATGTCCTGCTCCTCTTATGGTTACAAATGTCACGTTTTGGTATTCAACTACATAACCTCCGACCTTGAAAGGGATAAAGAAAGGGTGTTAGGATAGTAGAGGCGTCAAGAGCTAAAGAAGGTTAAAAAGTGAGTTTTTTCTTAGTTACCTCGCCTTGGGAGTCCCACGGATACCATGGAGTCTTTACAGGTGCCCCAAGTTTGGGCATTGAATACCTAGTTGTTGTAACCGGTATTATCCCATCTATATCTCCGCTGAACATTCATCGAAAGTTTGCACAATGTTAAATAACAGAAGTTTTCAGGGATTATTTGCTAGTTTCTAGTGATATATAAATGAAACTGTAGTTAAGAGTCCATTATTTTCTTTTCTGGGTTCAATTAGCAGAAACTTTTTCAGCAAGTATGCCAAATATTGTATTAAAAAACCATTAGCAACACTAACAGTATCATACCTGTAGATCCAAACGCCAATCCCGCTAGCCATCAGCTTCTTTATGGTAGGTAACACTGTATCTGGCATGTCCTGCCAATCGCTTCCTATGGAATCGCTACATAGAAATTAAGTGTAGTTAATAGAGGAAATCGTTGAAAAATTAAAATGAACTAGTATTCTAGTGTTGTATATGATGGAGAAGCATTACTTGCAATCTTCCCACGGTCCAGGAACTCCAGTGGTGTTAGCATGAAGTGCCTTTTGCACTTCTGGGGTGTTTAAATAGGCAAAGACATAGTCGCCTGAGCATGGATCAAATCCTGATGTCTGCTTTGGGAAAGGGATGGAAGGTGAGGTATCGGAATGCCAATATGGGAGAGATAAAAATATATATTTTTCAAAGAAATTAAGATAATACCGAGGGGGCATTTGAAGAGGAAGAGCACAAGGGAGCATAAATGTCATAGATAAAGATGTTGCCAGTGGCCTCATGGGCTTGATATGTGTAATCTTCGCAGACTTCTGAAACTGTAGCCTCAGAAGAAAAATTGCAATTTGAAATTATGCCTTCATGAATTTCATCAGATATGAGAGCACTAGTCCAGAAATGGTCATAAGTGCCTGTCCACCGATCTGTGTAGTCAATGTATGCATTCCCAATCTGAAAAATCATGCCCATATTCATCATATAATTCTTGATCGGAAAGATATATTAAATAACCAGGCAGCATATTTTATCAGGAAGCTTACAGCAATTCCTTTCAAGTTAATGACAGTTTGATTAGTGATTTTGTTGTTTACGAGAATTGAATCAGCAAGCTGAGGCACATAATGCCCGGCATAACTCTCTCCAGTTATGTAGAAGTCTCGGTTTTTGTACTCTGGAAATCTTTCCAACCAGTTAACTAAAAAGGTATACGAGTCTGCTGCAGTTTTTTTGTCCCCAGTAATATAATCTGATGATGTATTGGAATAGGAAAATCCAACACCAGCTGGAGATTCCAAGAAGAGAACATTTGCAACTGCATTTTCGGCAACATGGTTTCTGTTATTTGCCACAGCACTTTCAAAAGAATACTTCTTGATAATTAGCTTTAGGAATGCAAGTACTCACCTTTGTTCCATGAATACGGGTTCTGCCATAGAGTTTTGCCATCCGGATTCACCCGAAATGGTCCAAGTTCTGTCATTGCTCCAGCTCCCATTGAAGAGCAGCCAGGTCCTGCAGTACCAAGGTTACTTGAGATTGCTAAAATAAGGTTAACTAAAGTTCATACACTAGATGACGTTCTAATAACAAGAAACGCTTCTGAAAGTGTGCAGGGAGTCAGGCGCCATGGCGCCATGATTGGGCGCCATGGCGCCCAAACTTGAAAAAATGGGCAGTGAGGCTGGCGCCATGGCGCCCATGGTTCTGCTTGTTCTTGGCGCCACTCATGGGCGTCATGGCGCCCGACTCATTCTATATATATCTGGTGTTTTTCCCCTTCATGAAACCCGATTTTTGGAGAGAAAAATAGAGAGGGCTTGGATAGAGTTTTACAAGTAAGAGTTTGTTCTTCTTGGGTATAAATTCAAAGCCATTTTTTCTTTCTTGGGGATTAACTTGAGGCTTGTTCAAGTAATCCTAACACATTGATTATCATATATTCCATTGGATTCGTTTCTTCCCCATTTTCTTGTTCTTGAAGTGGTTTGGAAATTTTCACTTTGCCAACTTAGTTCGATCTTTGGGCTATCTTTGGGAGGTGTTTTCCCAACAA